GAAAGAATTGACCATTATAGATTGATTGGGGGAGATTCTGTAGGGCAGTGCATCTGCATAAATATCTAACAAACAAATTAAAAACTGTAACAAGGAGTCGGGGACAACATATGTGAGGGTCCAAATGCAGTATATTAAAGTCGGGCAGGCAATAGTCAAAGCAGGAGCAAACAGCATGAAGGCAATCCAAAAGAGTAGTTTAAACAACATAAATAGACAATTTTTATTAAAATTAATAGCTATTATAATGACATAGAATCAAGCTATCAATCTCATCAGCCCTTTCTCCACTGTTTAACTCACACATTCTGATTAAAGAGCAACAAATGAACCTCCTATTTATTAAGATTTTTTCATTACATTAAATAAGAGGTGTCACTTTAAAAATGCACACATAAATAGAGAACAAAGACAAGGATCAGAAAACAGGGCAAGGCGACATAAGAGAATGCTTTGTGATGCTTACAAAAAACAAGACTCCACACCGGATGAGTGTGTGTGTGCTGTCTATATATAGTCCAATAATCAGTCAACATGAGCTACAGCTGTGTGAGGGCAGTCCGGGGGACTTAACTGGGACTGGTGTGTGAGTGAGGTGCCTGATGGGAAATGTAGTTTGTTTTTGTGGCAGATGTGTAGTTGCAGTGATCTGCAAGTGCTTAATTGCTGGCGATCATAACAAAAGCATTGATAAATACGATAAAGAAAAAGTTCAACCCAGGCTCATACCTGTCAACATTGAGATGTGAAAATCAGGGATGTGCCCACCATAATAAGGGACCCCCCCCCCCCCCCCGCCTCCTCAAAAAAAATCCCCAAATTACTAAATATGTTAAGTTAGAGCTGTTTCATTGTAAGTAAACAGTTAAATGGTCAGTAATACGTTTTAAAATTATTATTAACAAAAGAAAAATAAATATATACATTAGCAGCAAATACATTAGCAAACAGCTCAGCTTATTAAAATTAATAGCTATTATAATGACATAGAATCAAGCTATCAATCTCATTAGCCGTTTCTCCACTGTATAACCCACACATTCTGATTAAAGAGCAACAAATGAACCTCCTATTTATTAAGATTTTTTTAATTACATTAAATAGGAGGTGTCACTTTAAAAATGCACACATTTACCGTTATAATGAAAGCATTCGACTGCTTTCCTAACTTTTATGCTCATTTAAGACGAAATTAGTTGTGTTTGAAAAAAAAAAACACCAAGATCGACATCCTTATATGTTAGTATTATTATTAATAATGTGTGTATATCTGTTTAATCATGCACCCAAAAGCCAGACTTTAGCTCCGCTTCAAATCACATGTACAGAAAACGTTTAGGAAACAGCATCTGTTTATCACTATGGAGCACGTCAGCTGACAGTCACGCACCATTGTATGACTGTTTTGAGGATTGTATAGTATGGGCGACGGCATCTGTAATCAAAAGGAAGTGGAATTGCGCCGTTTTTAATATTTATTCATTCATATTTTCATGTTTTCATTCTTAAACAAAGCGAAAGCACAGAACAGACTCACGTTTTGGAGCAAGGGGTGACCCCTGGTGTTTAGGTGGTATGGGTTGCGTATAGCGAGGCTCGGCTGTTCAGAGAAACACTGAAAATACGGGAGAAATACGGGAAAATACCTTTACGGGATAATAGCGGGATAGAACAGTAAAATACGGGAGAATTCCGGGAAAAACCGGAGGGTTGACAGGTATGCCCAGGCTCATTCTGAAAATGTAGTTGCGTGAACGGTTTTGGAGACCGTGAAATTGCCAAGTACCGTTCGCGCACACACTGCTCTCGCGTTAGCCCACCAGAGGCCGCTGTCGACCGACTGAATAACTAAATAATTGACTGGGCTACCGGCCAATCGACTGACCCACCGTCCTCCTTCCCTGAACCCAACCAAATTTACAGAGTGATCCGGCCACCCACTTACTTCCCTAAACCCAACCGACGGTTAACAAAGGCCGTCCAGAATCATAAATTGAATAATATGGGATTAGTTTATAAATAAACTTCATCCAACGCATCATAACAGTCTTGCGAAAACGGTTCATTGTGAATGCTAAAGTAATATATTGTGCAGCCTTATTTCTTGTCGTGATATTGAGTGTGGTTTTGTTATGTGGAGCAGAGGATGATGGGATGTGAGTCTGTCTCCTCCAGACTGTGTGTGTGTGTGTGTGTGTGTGTGTGTGTGTGTGTGTGTGTGTGTGTGTGTGTACATGTTTATGGAGAAGGCCACCTGTGCATTACTCAGCTCTGACATCTCACGCATTGATCTGACATAAGCAGAAAGGGATGCAGGAGAAATGGAAAGCGCTTGGAAGCGTCAGGGGTCGACAATAATCAGCACAGCAAACATATTTCTCCTCTGCGCATCCGTGAAAATTCACCTTTCCGGCTGAAAACCTCACCATCATTTCACTCACAGACCCGCAATAATCCGTTACCATAATAACTTCCTCTGGAAGGGCATCAGCTCTTCATATCGCACCGTTTTCCTGGATAAATAGAGATGCTGTAGGGGGTTTACCATCTGGATCTGTGCAAAATACCTTTGCTTACAGCAACTGAGAATTTTGAGGCTCATTGCTAATAAATTACTACACTATAAAATGTTGATCAACAATTTTCTGTAGTTTGTGATTCATGTTTTATATTATTATTATTATTTATTTATGCTTTTAAATTGCATTATGAAAGCTTGATCTTTCCTCCAACAACTTTTAACCTTGAAAAGTGTGACAAAGTGACTTTTTCTTGATATTTGTAATAGTGTGCAGTGCTATATTGTCTGTGTTGGTGTTGTATATTACGCTACAAAAACCTTGCAGTAACTACCAGCCGATTTTCTGTTCTTTTACAGACTTATTTCTTTCTCTATGTTAACTTTGATACAGAATATTGTTTCATAGTCACTTTGATAAATGCACAGTTATATTTCCATCATCAAACTGTTAATTAACGGATGTTTTTTACTAGTCTGTGTTTTTGTCTTATTTATTTGCGTTAAGATCACATCTAAACATCTTTAAAAATATGCATTTACTAGATTAACTGTTATGTTGAAGATCTAAATGCAGTTTTATACAAGAATGGTCAGGCAGGCGACAGGTCAAACAGATGCATACAGACAATCCAGAGTCATGGTTGAAGAACAGGCAAATGCAACGTAAACAAACAAACAAAGCAAGGGTCAAGCAAAACAGTTCACTAAACAGATAAACAAGACTCAGCACTGTGTGTGTGCAAGTGTGGTGTATTTATAGTCCATGTAATCAGTTCATAATGATCCTCCGGCTGTTTGTGTGATCAATGTCAAACAGGAACAGGTGTGTGTAAGGTGCATGACAGGATTTGTAGATAGATAGATAGATAGATAGATAGATAGATAGTTAGATAGTTAGATAGATAGATAGATAGATAGATAGATAGATAGATAGATAGATAGATAGATAGATAGATAGATAGATAGATAGATAGATAGATAGATAGTCAAACTGACGGATGGATGGAAGGACTGACTGATGGAGAGACGGACAGACCGGACGGACAGATAGTCAGACGGATGGACCAACGGATGGACGAACAGGCCAATGGATGGATAAACGGGTGGATGGGTGGGTGTACGGATGTAATGATCCTCTGGTTGTGTGTGTAATCCATGTCAAACAGGAACAGGTGTGCGTAAGGTGCATAACAGGATTTGTAGTTCGTAACTGTCAGATAGATAGATAGATAGATAGATGGATGGATGGATGGATGGATGGATGGATGGATGGATGGATGGATGGATGGATGCATGGATGGATGGATGGATGGATGGATGGATGGATGGATGGATGGATGGATAGATAGATAGATAGATAGATAGATAGATAGATAGATAGATAGATAGATAGATAGATAGATAGATAGATAGATAGATAGATAGATAGAATAAAAAATGTAGTGTAAAATAGAAATAAAAATAAAACAAGTTTCAAATTAATTATATTTACAGATATATGCACACATGACTCGATTAATAAAAAATAAGTATATTTATTATAGTTTTTTCCTCCATTTAAAGTTACTGTCTTTGAAACATTGGTAAGCCCAAACAGGCATGTAAAAATATTATTATTATTTTGCCGTGCTGCCAGAAAAGTATTTTATCATCTAAAATATGTATGACAAATGATGTTGATGTAAAAGTGTTTATTCTACATGAGCATCGATCCATGTGATGTTTACTCTCCTGAAGAAAGAGGCAGTGAATAATGGCATGTGAGTGGCTGAAGGGAGACTCTCGCTGAATTATCCTGCTATTGTCAAGAGGAATGCAGGCGCTCTTTATGTATTCATTTATGTGGAGATGTTTTCCTCTTCTTGTCTTTCTGTTTATCTGAGATACTAGAAGACACCTCAAGCATCAGTTTAAGCTCCATGGTCTAGAAAAAAAAGTCAATGTCAAAAAAACATTTAAAGTGTAAAAGGGCTCAGTGGTTAGCACTGTGGCCTCACAGCAAGAAAATCACTGGATAGAGTCAGTTGGCGTTTCTGTGTGGAGTTTGCACGTTCTCCCTGTGTTGACGTGGGTTTCCTCTGGGTGCTCTGGTTTCCCCCACAGTCCAAACACATGCGCTATAGGGGAACTGATGAACTAAATTGGCAATAGTGTATGTGTGTGTGTGTGTGTGTGCGAATGAGTGTGTATGGGTGCTTTGCAGTACTGGGTTGGGGCTGGAAGGACAATCTCTTTGTAAATCATATTCTGGATAAGTTGGCGGTTCATTCTGCTGTTGTGACCTCTGATAAATAAGAGACTAAGTCGAAGGAAAATGAATGAATTTAATGTGTGTTTCTACAGGTGGTTTGTCAAACCCACTCACCTGTGTGAAGCACGATTCATAGATGCACAGTGTTTTATTATTATTATTATTATTATTATTACTTGTTTACTGAATCTCCTCCTCCTCCTCCTCCTCCTCCTCCTCCTCCTCCAGCTGGGTTTGTGAAGTCTCCGATGTCAGAGGTCAAGCTCACCGGAGACGCCTTCGAGCTGTACTGTGACGTGGTGGGGAACCCGGTGCCGGAGATCCAATGGTGGTACGCCGATATAAACCGCGCAGACTCCTTCAAGCAGCTGTGGGACGGGGCCCGGAAGCGGCGGGTGTCCATCAACACGGCATCCGGAGCCAATGTGGTGAGCGTTCTGGCCATCTCTCGCCTCACGCTGGAGGATGCCGGGATCTACGAGTGCCGTGCCAGCAATGACCCACGCCGGAACGACATGCGGCAAAACCCGGCCATCACCTGGATCCGCACGCAGGCCACCATAACCGTGCTGCAGAGTGAGTGTCTGTAATATTAAGCATGATTTATCTTGAGCCGGGTGCGCCCGTGGGTGTACTGTACTCTAATAGATGTAGAGGACTTGTAATATTTCTATATCACTGTAGAAGCCTTTGGGGCAGGTTTTTGGTAGTAACATAAATTCAAGTGGCCTAAATAGAAAATACTTTATTTCACAAAAAAGAAAAACATATATTAACTGAATTAAACAAAAAAAAATAAATAAATAAATATATACAGTTGAGGTCAGAATTATTCACCCCCCTTTGATTTATTTTATTTTTTAAATATTTCCCAAATGATGTTTAACAGAGCAAGGAAAATTTCCCATAATATTTTCAACCCATAATATTTTATATATGATATTATATCATTATATTTATATATTATAAATATTTGTAATATTTTTTCTTCTGGAGAAAGTCTTATTTGTTTTATTTCGACTAGAATAAAAGTAGTTTTAATTTTTTTATGATCTATTTTAAGGTCAATATTATGAGCCTCTTTAGGCTAATTTGTTTTTTTGACTGTCTTCGAAACAAACCATCGTTATACAGTATCTTGCCTAATTTCCCTAACCTGCCTAATTAACCTAATCAACCTAGTTAAGCCTAAGAATATCTAGTCAAATATTATTTACTGTCACCACGACAAAGATAAAATAAATCAGTTATTAGAAATGAGTTATTAAAACTATTATGATTAGAAATGTGTTGAAGAAATCTGCTCTCCGTTAAACAGAAATTGGAGAAAAAAATAAACAGAGGTGGCGAATAATTCAGACTTCAATATATATTAAATATATACTTATATTTATATTTATTTTACCAGGATAGTCCCATTGAGATACAAAATCTCTTCTACCAAATACTTTGGCAAATGCAGCATCTTTTTTTTAAATTAGATAATAAAAAGATATAGGGTTCTATTTTATTGATCTAGGCGCAAAGTCTAAAGGTGCAAAAGCATTAAGGCCATGCCCAAATCCTCTTTTGCTATTTTAGGGATGGAAAAATACACACTGCGCCCCGGCGTACGGTCTAACAGGGTTGTGCTTATTTTGTGCTTATTATTATAGTTGAACAAAGTCTTCTCTCTGTTAAACAGAAATTGGAGAAAAATAAACAGGGGGAAGCTAATAATTCTGATTTCAACTGTATGTATGTGTATATATATATATATACATATACAGATTAGTGATGAATAATCACTAGATGAATAATAACATGCTCAGGAAAAACAAGTATAGTCCAAAGTAAAATATGACGGCAAAGTTTGCTTAAACACCTTAAATGATGCATTGGAATGAATGTTGGCAGGTAAATTATTCTAATCTATTGCACCCTTAAACAATAAAGGCTCTTTTACCAATAGATTTTTTAAAACGAGGAACAAAAAATAATCTCTGATAGTCTATATATTTATTTATTTATTTAACGTTCGCCTCACAGCAAGAAGGTTGCTGGTTCAAGCCTTGGCTGGGTCAGTTGGCATTTCCCTGTCGAGTTTGCATGTTCTCCCTGTGTTCGCATGGGTTTCCTCCAGGTGCTCTGGTTTCCCCTACAAATCCAAAGACATGTGGCATAGGTGAATTGGGTAGGCTAAATTGTCCATAGTGTATCTGTGTAAAAGATTGTGTATGGATGTTTCCCAGAGATGGGTTGCTGATAGAAGGGCATCCGCTGCGTTAAACATAAGTTGACGGTTCATTCCGCTGTGGCGACCCCGGATCAATAAAAGGACTAAGCTAAAAAGAAAATGAATGAATGAATGAATGAATGAATTATTTATTTATTTATTTATTAAAAAAATTTTAATTGTCTCTAAAAAACTTGGTGTGCCTACCTTTATTGTTTAAATTTTTTCTATTATTTATTATTTTTTAATCAACTTTCAGTCTTTTCAGTCGGTTTTCAGTCATTTGTAGTTTTAAAATCTAAATATTTGCACATTAACATCATTTTTTAAATGTAATTAGCTCAGAGAAATATCTATTAGCTTTTTCTTCTAGTATGATCATTACATAAATAAATTTTTTTTTCTAAATTGCTGATTACCTTAGCATTTCACAAGTTCATTATATCTTAAGAAACATCATTATCGTAACGCTCAACACCAATATCGCATATTTTCCCAGTATTGTACAACATTAGAGTGATTCTCATCAATTGTTTATATGTTTGATTACGCATTATATTTTGTATTACCATGTTGGCTTGATTTTAATTAGGGGAGCACCAAAATGAAAATTCACATGGGTGAAAACAAACCAAACATTTCAAATTCACCAAAAATTTACTATATAATAATTATTTATTATTTTATTAGTAACACTGTTTACTATAAGGTTTGATTAGACCATTTTAAACACAATTAAAGTGAACAGATGTTACTGTTAAAGATATATTCCCCTTATGGGCATAATAATATCAAAACAGCCATTTATGACTACGCACATCTGCTCGCATATACACTGTGGTTCTGCATCATGATATTTGCTTATTCCATTGTTATGAGCTTAATCTGGTCTTTTGGTTTATGTCCACCTTTCATTCACCAGATTATCCAGAAATAGACATGATTATGCAAAACATAAGGCATATTTGGAGAGAAATGCCAGGAAAAATAACGACACGATTTTCAGATTGTGGTAACACCAGCCCAGCCCTACTGCAAACCGAAATAAAGCCGAAGCCCCTATAATGTTCACTTAAGCTCAGCTCTTGGGAAAGTGCCGTATTGATTCCTTCTGTATTGTCCTTATCGTTTGACCTTGGTGCGTCCGAATGTCCCCTTTCCTTCAGGCAGACTTAAAGATGGAGTCTTTCTGTCTTCCCGATGACCACAAACCCAGATAAAGATAAATATATAAAAGCTCCCCTCATCCTCAATCTTCCTCCCAGGGTATGCACGATTAAGGAAAAACCTGATATTGCAATATTTTTTTCTGCCATAAATATTGCGATATTAATGCAGTTGCTGTTGATGTTTTGAACAGCTTTTTCTGAGGAGTGAATTGAATAATCAATGCAAAGAAAAATGCTTTTCTCACTTTGCTTTGTCTCGTGTCTAGTCCAAATATCTAAAATATTTTAGATCAAGTAAAACATATTGTTTTGTTTCCACGTTCAGAAGAAATAAGTAAATAGTAGTATATAATAAAAGTAATATATATTTTAAGATACTTTTATAGTTTCAAAATATTAAGAGTGTACTCACACTATGCCATCTGAACTGTGCCTGGGTGTGTTTCCCGGTTTGTATGACAAGTTTGAGTTCTCTGAATCGAGCCCATGCATGGTTGGAAGAGGTGTGTCAGAGCGCAGTTGCGTTGGGCTTTGGCGCGGTACACTTGTAGTGTGAGTGCAAAGCACGCCTGAGCCTAAAACTGAAGACGTGACGGCACTTTTAAGGGACTGTTTCATATAATGCAGTGTGAGTGCAGGCCATCGGCGGAGAGGGGAGGGGGACAAGCGCGCTTCTGCACAGTTCAAGGCAATTGTGCCTAGTATGAGTACGCACTAAGAATAAATGTCATACAAATATACTGTGTTAATGACTAAACACTAACCAAAGAACACCCACCCTATCCTGACAGAGAATAAAAATATGTACACATGTATGCAAAAATAAACAAATAATTACAGTAATAAAATAATATAATAATAATAAAGTAAAAATAAAAAGGGCAATTTTGTAAAATACATTAAGACAATGTAATTTCAACAGATATACAGTTAAAGTCAGAATTATTCACCCCCCCCCCCCCCTGTTTATTTTTCCCCCCAATTTCTGTTTATCGGAGAGCAGATTTCTTCAACACATTTCTAAACATAATAGTTTTAATAACTCATCTCTAATAACTGATTTATTTTATCTTTGTCATGATGACAGTAAATAAAATTAGACTAGATATTCTTCAAGACACTTCTATGCAGCTTGAAGTGACATTTAAAGGCTTCACTCGGTTAATTAGGTTAACCAGGCAGGTTAAGGTAATTAGGCAAGTTATTGTATAATGATGGTTTGTTTTGTAGACTAATATAGAAAACTAAATAGCTTAAAGGGGCTAATAATTTTGACCTTAAAATGCTTTTTAAAAAAAATAAAAAACTGTTTTTATTCTAGCTGAAATAAAACAAATAAGACTTTCTTCAGAAGAAAAAATACTATCAGACATACTGTGAAAATTTCCTTGCTGCGTTAAACATCATTTGGGAAATATCTAAAAAAGAAAATAAATTCAAAGGGGGCGAATAATTCTGACTTCAACTGTATGCACTCCAATAAAAGTGAAAAACATTAAAATAAGTCAAAACTAAGAGTTTTTCCTTAAAACAAGCAAAATTATCAGCCATTGGGGGAATTAAAATAATAATTTTTTCGCTTTGAAATGTATAAATTTGGAGGTAAAACAAGACAAAAAATATATATTTTTGCATAAACCATATAAATAATGAAATACAAGTTATCTGTCGTACACCTCATTTATCATTATTTCTGGTGTCAAAATGTTTTAAACGCTCTTAAAGTGCACGGGCATTAAAAACACATGCAAATAATAGGCTTTCACACGACTATGGTTAAACTTGGGTCAATAATAATTAGGGCTAGACAGAATCTGCCGATATTATTCATTATCTGCTGAGATTCTTGTAAAAAGTCTGCGGATTTATGCGGAAGGATTTTGGAAGTGTCACAACTAAAGATTTAATATATTAAATAAAAAAATAACACATTTTTAACTTGTATTTAATGTTTACAATGCAAATCCAATTAGATTCACTTATTTAGTAAACAAAGCATGTCTCATATATAATACATCCACTAAAAGACAGAAAATACTTTACATTTTCATTCATTCATTCATTTTCCTTTGGCTTAGTTCTTTTATTCATCAGGGGTTGCCACAGCGGAATGAACCGCCAATTTATCCAGCATATGTTTTACACAGCGGATGCCCATCCAGCTGCAACCCAGTACTGGGAAACCCATACACACTCATTCACACACTACAGCCAATTCAGTTGATCAATTCCCCTATAGCGCATGTGTTTGGATTGTGCAGGAAACCGGAGCACCCAGAGGAAACACAGAAACACCAACTGACCCAGCCGGGACTTGCACAGAATCCATGTGGTGCTAATTCAGACTAAACAGTGCATATCTTGCAATGTGACACTAAAGATATTGAAAGTATTGTGCAGCCCTACTTCCTCCATCTTTCCTGCTTCCATACAGTATCTCCTTACTGTTTGCTGTCATTATTTTTGATTTCATATTGATATGATAGTAGCATTGTGTGGGTTTATTTACTTCAAAGCTACACATGTTGTGCGGAGCGTGAAGCCTGGCGACGCTTTGAAGTCGCGCTGTGTTTTTTTATCTGTGCATTTTGTCCTTGGGAAACACGGCTGGATGAGACCAGGAAGAAGACACAAGTAAAGGAGGTCATTTCTGTCATCCGGCAGTTCCTTATCTGACCAAAAACCAGCCGTCGTAATCTTATCTGGCTGGGCCATCTGTCATAAAACTGACCCGTGAGTGCAGAATGACCTTGTGTCTTCTTTGCATTGCCTGTGGTTCAGTAATGGCATTATATTCTGAATCGTTCCAGTCACATTCATTTCCCTGTCTGTTTATGACTAATGTCTTAAAGAGACACCTTTAAAGTAAACAGGCTCACTTTAGACCTCTCCTAGAGCTAAACAGGTGAGTTTTACCATTTTTGAATCAATCTCCAGGTCTGGCAGGGGAACTCCTAGCTTAGCTTAGCATAGATCATTGAATCAGATTAGACCATTAGCATCAAAAAATGACTAAAGAGTTTAGATATTTCTTCTATTTAAATCTTGACTCTTTTGTAGTTACATTTACCACTTTTAAACACATTCAGTTAATCTCAGAGTCTGACAGAAACAATTTTAAACTTAGCTTAGCATAGATCATTGAATCAGATTAGACCATTAGCATCTCACTAAAAATGACCAAATGGTTTAGATAATTATTTTATTTAAATCTCGACTCTTTTGTAGCTTCATTTACCATTTTTAAACACATTCAGTTAATCTCTGAGTCTGGAGGGAGCAATTTTAGCTTAGCTTAGCATAGATCAATGAGTCAGATTAGACCATTAGCATCTCACTCAAAAAAAAAATGACCAAATGGTTTTGATAATTTTCCTATTCTAATCTTGACTACTTTGTAGTTACATTTACCATTTTCTATCAATTCAGTCAACCGTTGAGTCTGGCGGGAACAGTTTTAGCTTAGCTTAGCATAGATCATTGAATTAGATTAGACCATTAGCATCTCACTCAAAAAGCATGTAAGTGTCTGTGAGCGGAGTGCATGTATGAAAATGTAGTCCAGAAATGGCGGATTTGTAGTCCATGGTTATTGAGAGTGAAATCCAGCAGTCTTATGAAAGACGATCGCTGGTAATCGTGACAGGTTGTTTGATGTTTATGTTTTGTTTTTGGAGCTTTAGAGTCATCCGTCACAAACAGAGCTGTGTGGGTTACTTATTGCAATCAGTTAGAAATTACATGACAAAGTGTGTTGATTGCACATTTATGGTAATGTAATCGGACTACTTTTGGATTACATGTAGATTACTTTTATGCTGACCCTTGTTTGATGTCAAATGTATTGAAGCAGGGTTTAATCTTGCACTCTTTTGACAGATATACATAAAAATATATACCTTAAAGCTCAGGTGTCAAACTCAGTTCCAAAAGGGCCGCAGCTCTGCACAGTTTAGTTCCAACCCTAATTAAACACACCTGATCAAGCTAATTGAGTCCTTCAGGCTTGTTTGAAACCTAAAGGTAAGTGTGTTGGAGCAGGGTTGGAACTAAACTGTGTAGGGCTTCGGCCCTCCAGGAATTGAGTTTGACACC